AATCCTACAGGATGAATGCTCCGGCCCAGCACCATCGAGGCCGTGAGGCAGAAGCATTACCAATGCACTCTGTTTGAGCCACTTGGCTAGAGAAAAAACAGCCCTGAGTCAGAATGACAAGTTCGGATAGTCCCAGTCCCATGCTCACTTTGGGACGAGGTGACGAACGTATCTACGATGACCTATGAGGCGTGTGAGTCCGAAGAATACCCATCTCCAAGTTTAGCTGAGACTTGCCTGTGCACCATTGAAGAAATCACCAAATTGGGCCTCCCAAATTGGCAATAGATTTGGATTTCCCCAGCTCATTCCCCACTCGAACTAGAGCTGTACATCACATACGCTGCAACGCCGAGCCACACAGATCTACTCACTCCAAGGACTGCCATTTCACTGAGGGAGCTGTTGGCGAGCTCCAACTTGTTGGTCTGTGAAAGATTATTGAGAGGAACTATAACGTTTTCGGTTTGCTGGTCAACAAGCATGGCATGCCTGACAATGGTATCGTTCAAAAGGGAAATGCGCCATCCAGTTGACGAAATGGCGCACCGATGACTAAAAGTCCCACGTCCCACGTCCTGTCCACTGATACGAACATCGAATCCATCACGAAGTAAAGTTCCGAAAGATAAGGCCTTCAGAGAGGGAGGATGTCATGCGTTGTCAGATCTACATTCGAGCAATCTCCCTTGCCTCTGCCGTACTCCAATCTATTCCTTGACCTGACTCGATGCTTCTAATGCGAGAGGAAACGTGTCGCTGAAGACGAGGGTGTAGTTCCTGGGTCGAATAATCAGGAAAAATTAGCAGGGGAGTGTGAAATCTCCGCAAGGGCTTCTCTCACGAAGCCGACGGGTATCTGGACGCTTGCCCTTCCAATTTCACGTAGTTCCTCAAGGGGAACACCTGTCTCAGGATCCTTACATTTCAACGCCTCCCGGGAGCCTGGCCAGACCATCCTTGACCACTGTCCGCGAAGCATATCAGCAGACGGCATATACCCATCGACAGCTTTGAGATGGTTTTCAAGATGTTCTTTGTACGCAGCACGTTCAGTTGTGGCCTCGGTGGAACTGATGATTTCTTCAGTCTTAGAAAGCCCTAAGCATAATCGCGGTATAAGATGAGTATGCCACGAGAACTTACGATCAGCTTTTCTTCATAAAGGCTAGGAACGCTCTTCCGGCTCCGAATTCTGTTGTACATTAAAGGTTGGGTAAATGAGGGCTCGTCCAGCTCGTTATGTCCCCTAAGAATGCCAAGGATTAGCAAGCAAGTTTCAAGAGTTATCACATGGACCAGCAATATACACCATCTTCGATACGTGATAAGATCGATAATAACGTCCTGGGAGGAATGAGAACAAGAACTCTTCGTGTGAGCATGACTTGAGAAACGAACGGCTCACCTTCCGGAAGAAGTTCCTATAATTGAAGGCAGTCTTGATTGCGCGTACAACATCTGCGGCGGGTGATTTAAAGCCGGGAACATTTGTCCTGAATTAGGTATACACACCTTCTGGGTGGTCACCGTTTACATGAAGGATTGGGGCGTTTATCATTTTCCCAATATCCGAAGAATAAAGGGACGATCGAGCGCTTGATGCAGGGGTGGTATAGCCAATACTACGGGTTCCGTGAGCAGAGGTCTTCCGTACAATACGATGATACTAACTTGTTGCTAAGAGCGGCCAACAATCAAACACAGTAGGGGCTTGGGGTTGGAATTATACTCACTTAACGACGATATGCACGCTTCCCCCAGATGTATAATGCGGCAGATTGCCTTCGGCACAATAAGAGAAGCATTATGCCAGATGATATATCACTCACTTAGACCCAGGCTTTCCATCACCACCCCTTGTCCTGTAAACGCCGCATCGCCATGCATTTGTACACACATCACCCTGTCCCCCAGAGAACATTCGGGGTCGGTGTCTTTCATCAAGGCAAGTTGTTTTGCACGTGTCTTCCCAAGGGCAACGGGATTGATCGCCTCTGCGAGTTCACATGGGGTTGCGAAGGCGGTGAATTAAGCGCAATAGTCCTATAAACCTGAATCCGTACCTAGATGAGAAGGATTCTGAAGGAGAGATACATGTATGCGTTTCCCGTCGTATATTAGTGTCGGAGTGCTAGCTAGAATCGCGCAGCGACGTTGGCTGGGAATCCCCACTCCAAGGGAGAGGTACTTACAAAGATGGCTGATCACGTCCCCAGTCGCATGCAAGTTATCTGGTATCTCGGAGCCACCCTTGATCTTGTGAAAGAGGGCGACCGGACGATACTGGAGGAGATCAGTCAAGAGCGACAGACGCCCTGCACCGATTCTTCATTCAGAAAAATGAAATGTCAGTCAGGATGCTGTTCTAAGAGCGCACCTCTATGAGGCATACAGAGGACGATGTTTTCGACGCCGGCTGCAAAATGACGTTAGGGTGTCTCTCGATTGCTTCTCCGCCTTTCATTCACCATTGGATGCTACATGGAACAGAGTATCAAGAGCTGGCAGCATCGATTCTGCCCCTTCAAGGCCGTAGCGCTTCAACGACGGAAACTTTTCCTGGAGGAAATGATCAAATGTTTCACTCCGCGCCATAAGGCCCCAGACTCTTTTCTTTGCAGCATCGTCCAAGTGTGAGTTTGAAGGTGAGGACAAGGCAGGCAGGGATTCCAAGAGATGGGACCACCACAATCGCTCACTCTTGTATGGAGAATGCATATATTCAAATGATATGCGACCGGTGTAGACTGAACGCAAATGGTGCACGATCTGGTCCAATGAAAGCCAAACTGCAGGGGAGCCTTCATTGGAAGATATATTGTCCAGTCCACCCGTCCAGAGAATGCCATCTACGTTGTATGTTTTGTTCGGATCATCCAGCGCGTACCGAGATGGATTAAGAGCAGCAATCTCTTCGCGCTGCAACAAATCCAGGGGATCTATGGTTGCGGCCCTGTGGCCATGTATACGAAAGGAGTCTACTAGACGGAGTAGGGAAGCATTGTGGGCCCTATTGACCAACTGGGCTGGTGTGTCTAAACGGATACAACGGGTGGGGACCAATGCACAGTGAACAAGGAGCAAACTCACAATCGAGGAGACTGTAAGGTTTGGGAGATCGATAGCCAAATGCTGCCTCATCGTGGTAAAATGACCTGCCCCATAGGTGGAGCGGCCGGGTCGCTGTTCGCTGCAAGACAGAAAACATTGGCTTGAAGCGAGGGTTCTTCCAGATAAACTTATAGAGCAAAAAGGGCTACCTCCTAGCCGAAACGTTAATTGCCTACTCATAAGTGGACATGCGACCAACAAATCTCGGTGCTTGCCGAGTCACTTGACCCAAACTCGAATGTCAATGGGAGGCGCTCAAGGTAACCTCTTTTCATCGTGCTTGCCGTGTTCTGGGGCTTATTCTCGTATTACATCCCATAGACCAATTGACTATCGAGTCGCCGCCCATTGATGGCGTGTCGGCGGTCCATTTTTCACCTGTGTCTTCCAACCATTTGCTTGTTTCTTCATGGGACAGCGTGAGCCATTCCTTCGTTCTGGATAATCTCAACTCACTAGCTCCCTCGTGCATTTTTTAGCAAGTGCGGCTATATCATCTTGCTGATAATTCCCTGAAATCCGTATTTCAACATCGTGCTGCGGTGCTAGGTTGCGCCTTCGAGCCAGGGGGTCAATATGCCTACAGTGGAGGGCTAGATACATGGGTTCGAAGGTAATAGTTACCAATGGATGAGTTGGATGGGTCCTGGAACTGAACATGAATACATTGGTAGATTGGATCTAAACACGGAAAAGATTCGCGTGCTGGGGACTCACACTGCAGGGGTATCCTCGGTGGTACATTCTCAAGAATTGAGTCAGTTTCCGTGGAATTGCTATCCTACCCTTTTCTAACCCTTCGTCTCGATCAGACGCGTTGATAACTGGATCATGGGACCGCAGCGTGAAACTCTGGGACCCGCGTCAAGGAAACCCCAAGTCTCTTATCAGTTCGCATGAACAACCAGAGCGAGTCTATGCCATGGACATTGTAAAAAACACGCTGGTGGTTGCTACCGCGGGACGACGGGTACAGATATATGACACACGAAATATGGCGGCACCAGCACAAGAGCGTGTCAGCTCCCTGAAGTTTGGCACATCGAGTCTAGCATGCATGCCTGATGGATCCGGTAATGGATATCTTGCTCTTTCCTTAATGTTGTAGATGCGCGAAAGTTTCCTTATTACCGTGGTTACCGTAGGTTTCGCCATGGGATCTGTTGAGGGGCGAGTATCAGTCGAATTCTTCGAAGAAACCCCAGAGGTCCAGGCGCGGAAATATGCCTTCAAATGTCATCGACAAGTCACACCGGAAGGCGACGTAGTGTATCCTGTGAACGCACTGGCCTTCCATCCCATGTATGCAGACCCCAATAATTCGTGTCGCTTGTTTTTAACTTTCGTATCGTATTTTTGAACTCCTCTAGTTACGGCACGTTTGCTTCAGGAGGGTCAGATGGTAGAGTCGCAGTGTGGGACCATTTCTCAAAGAAGCGGCTGCGTCAATACCCAGCTTTCCCAGCTGGGGTGAGTGCACTTGCGTTCAGCGCTGAAGGCACAAAGATGGCGATTGGGGCATCGTACAGTTGGGACGTCCCGGATCAACGACGGAGAGAAGAGCTCAAAGAGAGGGGCGACGAGATGGAGACGATTTCTATCGTTGTCAGAGATGTTGGAGAGGAAACAAAGGTGCGGCGATTTCCACTGCTGGCCTCAACCAGGTATTCTTAATCTCTTCCCTTAGCCAAAGACCGGCAATGCGTAGGACGCCGTATTGAGTAGTGAAAATTGGTTCGACAGATATAAGAAACTTGTAGCTTCGGTCCTGGTTTCTGAAATTTTATTCTTTGTACGCAGCGGCTAAGAATATTAATGGTGTAGAAGTTCTTCGGACCTTTGGGAACCCAAAACCTCTTAGAGCCTCCTGGGACAAAATATTACGGGACTTCGTGGCGCAATTGGCTAGCGCGTCTGATTCCAAGTCATTAGCCATCAGGAGGCTGTGTGTTCAAGTCACACCGAGGTCACTTATTTTACTGGCAGTCCTGTAGGGCCGAGTCTTCAGCTTCTCTTGTTTTTGCGAACTTGAAACATTTTTGCCTATAGGATGAAAGCTAGGGAATTCAGAGCGTGAAATTGGATACGATTGAGACCGATGGTGGTGTATACTTGCTACAAGCTGTGTAAAGGCTGGCAGCGGGAGAAAAGGTCGACGCATGGGATCAACCATTCCCGAATGGCTCGATCGGATCTGCCCCCTGCGAAAAACTTGGGAAGATATTTTCCCGAGTCCCTTTTTATCCCTGCTCCTTATAATTAACCGAGTCAAGTCTCTCACTGCTTTTGATGATTTACACTTGTTGACTGATCTTGCAGGACTCTCTAGCACCTATGAATTTTGTGCACTCCGACAAACCGGTTGCAAACAGACAAGTACTTGTGGTGACAGTTAAGACTCAGCCACACGCGCGTGCGACACCGATTAGGCCTCCAGTTGGCCTTAATTGGCATTCATGGAACCAGGAAGGTTCCCACGGCCCAGTTATGCTTCGGTGCGCCGGGGCTCCAAGTGCACGTCGTGTGAGCGGTGCTCTATGCACTCAGGACCTGGAACCTCGGGAGCCCGGGGTGGTGAGTTTGCTGCATTATTTCCCACAGAACGCCTTTGCGATTGTGCTCGTTTGAAGGGGATCGTGCTGCCGTTAGGAAATAGATCCAATTCCGGGGTTACCTCATCGAGGAAGTTTGCTTCCGGCGTTGAGTCACTATCCTACTTTGAGCCTTGTCTAGTCCCAAAATTTAGGCGCGAGCGCCGTCGCAATCCTCGTCACCTTATTGCTATACTCGACTTAGGATCTTCGTCGTCCATCTTCTGTGATATTTCTTCTTCTTGTGCTCAAGATGCGGTACTACCAAGAACGTTATCCGGAAGTTGATGAGCTTGTCATGGTGCAAGTGCGCCAAATAGCTGAAATGGGCGCGTACGTTAAATTGGTGGGCAATATGGCCTCTTATCCTCCCTCAATTTGGATTTAAACGCTTGCATCACAGCTCGAGTACGACAATATCGAGGGGATGATTCTCCTTTCAGAACTGTCCCGCCGCCGCATTCGAAGCATTCAAAAACTCATCCGTGTCGGTCGCAATGAGGTCGTGGTTGTGCTTCGAGTGGATAAGGAGAAAGGCATGCTCGTCTGGGCATAGAACAAGCTTTATGACATTAAAAGATTGGTCCCACAGGTTACATCGATCTGTCGAAGCGGCGCGTTTCTCCTGAAGATATTACAAAATGCGAGGACAGATACATGAAATCAAAAAGCGTGGCCTCGATCATGCGACACGTTGCATCGAAGCTCCCCTCTGCCTCTGCTTCCAACCCTACTGCCGAGCCGACGTCCGCCCCAGAACCCGGTGCCGAACTAGACGAAGAAGACACTGTGGGAGGCGTCGCAGATGCTGGGACCGGTACGGGTGAAGAAGATCTAGAAGCCCTATACGAGCAAATTGCCTGGCCTGTTGGGAGGAAATACGGCCACCCCTATGACGCTTTCAAGCTTGCAATCACGTCAGGTCCTTTGGCCTCCCAACCCTCATTCCTCATACTAACGGTCATCTAGGGAGCCGGAAGAAGTTTTCGGAGGATTGAACGTCGCACCAGACACCCTAAAATTGCTCCTCGCCACGATTGGCCGCCGTCTGACGCCCCAACCGATTAAACTGCGAGCGGATATCGAGCTGACGTGCTTTAAGCCTGCTGGAATTGATGCCATACGAAGAGCACTGAGGGCTGGGGAGGCGGTGAGCACGCCTGCCGTTCCTATCAAAGCCAAACTCGTCGCTCCCCCCTTCTATGTTTTGGATACCAATGCTACGGACAAGGTGCGTCGATATGCATTCCTTTTATTGTATTGGTGCAAGTCTGGATATTATACATTTATCAAGCACGCGGGAGTTGACAATCTGGAGGCGGCCATTGACGCAATCAAGACATCGATAACGTCAGAGGGTGGGGAGCTCAATGTCAAGATGAAGGTGCGCATACTAATGCAGTGCCTCATTCCGAATCTGGTGCTCAATAATACCCCAGCCCAAAGCTGTTTCTGAGACTGAAGACCTCGAGCTTGCGGCCCTCATGGCACGCGCCGGGAAGGAGAATACTCAAGTCTCTGGAGATGAAGCGGAGGATGAGAGTGACGATGAAGAGGTTTAGGAGTCACCTTGGTGTTACAGTACATGCAGTCTGAAATGTTGTCCACGGCAATCTGCGAGATTCGTGCCGTCTTTTGGTGCCACGGGGACTGATTGCACAGCCAGTCATGTTGAGCAATTCGTGGTCTGCTTCCCCTGTTGAGGTCTACGTGCAACGTGCTTGCGACCCATCACTTCGGGAACCAAACTATGCCTTGAATCTCGAACTGGCAGACCACATCAACCAAAAGAAGGCGAATACACCTCGGGAAGCTGCGATGAGCATCGCTCGTATGGTCAACCACCGGAACCCGCACGTTTCCATTCTAGCGCTCACCCTTCTTCAGACTCTCGTACAGTCGTGCGGATATCCGTTCCATCTCCAAATCTCCACCAAGGAATTTCTGAACGAGCTCGTCCGACGGTTCCCCGAGCGACCCCCACCGTTCCCAGGCCCTGTTATGTCGCGCATCCTTGATCTAATTCATTCCTGGAGAGAAGGGATATGCAGGGAAAGTCGCTTCAAGGAGGATTTTGGTAACATTCGAGACATGCACCGTTTGTTAAGCTTCAAAGGTAATGCATCCATTGAGTACTGTCGCTGGTATCTGAACCAGTATCCTCTCCTTCTAGGCTACCGATTCAGGGACAATCCTCGAAATCAGCAGTCCACACAGGATGCCACGATCGTACGTCTGACAGATCAATATGTCAACAGCTGTTCGTTTCTTATATGACCTTCCCTGTAGAACCTAAAATCACCTAATGAACTTGAGTCTGAGGATCGGGAGGCACAGGCGGCTGTAATGATGCTTTCGCTTTGCTTCAGTCGCATTCGTGATTCATACCGGGCTTTCTACTTCTTGTTGTAACAGAAACTTCAAGAATTAATTCGACGTGGAACCCCCAAAGATTTGGCGGCCGCCCAAGAACTGATGAAGATAATGGCGGGGGCTGTGAATTTGTCTGCCTATCGTTCTACAGTCCATGATCTGACATCGGCTCCACAGAATCCGGATGCTCAGCCTGACTACCGGTCCAAAACAATGCACGAACTAGAGAAGCTTCAGGCGCATGTTATCCTGCTCAACGAGATGCTGGATAATATTGATCCGAAACGGCCTGATCGATTGGTCACAGGAGACGCTTACGATGTGCGCTGTGCTCTGCGGTTTTTTAAATTCCAGCGTGTACCTTTGACTTATTGAGCTGATGTTACAGCAAGTCGCGACGATATGTCGGAGTGCCCGGCCAAAGATTCAAAGGTGGATTTCGGAGGCAGAGACTGACGATCCAGAATCTTTAGGTTGGTGCTATCAGGTCCCGGTAATACTATTTGCGCTTATTGTCCTTCCTCCCTTTCTCACAGACACCTTCCTTTCGATCAATGATCTCATTAACAATGTACTGGAACGATATGAGCGATATCAAAAGGGAGATTACTCACAACCTCAGCCCCCAGAAACCACGTTAGTGTCCTTTTATCCAGGCGTTTTATCCCATCCTTCATTGCGTATTACGTTAACAGGGTGAAATCGCTCATTGACTTCGACGCGGAGGGACAGCCTGGTGCGAACACAGGGGGAACGTCGACCACAGCGGCAGATGACCTCGTAAGTCTCTTCAGTGGGGGCTCTTCAAGTTCTGCGGCCCCAGTGACTCCCGCGACGCCCTCTTCGTTACCATTCTTTTCGAATCCACCGGCCCATAATCCAAATGGGGGGCAAACAAGATGGTCGACTGCACCGCTCGGTGGGCGGGCCACGGGTGGTGGGACTCCTAGTCCCAGTGGGAGTGCGCTGGATGGTCAGGGGATTGTGGGAAGCATTGCATTGCCAATGGGTAGTAGGGGAGTGTCGCCGATGGCAGCTTCGCCGTCAAATTCTGCGAGTGGGCAGCAGCCTCCTGCTCCCGTGAAGAAGGACCCGTTCGCGGATCTGGCAGGCTTGTTCTAGTCGTGTACATTACACTAACATCTCTTGAGACCAACTATTTCATGTACAGGCACAATTACAACACTGGGGTCTCTCATTCTGCACCCACTTCGGTTCATTTGGGAGGAGCCGTAGTGCCACAGATGCTACACTTTCGAACTTGTTCGTTCTGGATCCAGTTCTGGATTAGAGGCTTTAACACGGCCCCTAGGTCTGTGGCATGAAATGCTTCCTCCCGGATAATCGTGGGCTTCTTGTGCGACTTGTCAGAGCAGTACCAACGTAATCGATCTTCAATGTGGATACTCTGTTCAGGACCCGGCGGGGTTAGACGTCATAGACATGAGATACGCACCCATGGAATCATCTGTACGCTTCCTCTCAATGACGAGACCGATGGTATCAGCAAATCGAACAGGATTGTGGGGCGTGTTGGCTAGAACAGACAAGTTCGAGCATGTCCAATGTGAGAACGAATTGGTTCGGGAAGACTGACGAGGCAAGAGAAACATCTCTCCTTCTTTGATAGGTATGTCTCTAAATTGTTCTCCATCCACTACACGAAGCAGCATGTCCCCTATATGCTGATAAAACCACTCCTAATAATACATGGTCTAATGTTTGATTGGGCAAAGGCTGATTCTATCGGCTCACCTCGGTCTGGTTAACATGATAGTCATTGCGCTCGTTCGGGCCACCAAGAGCCATGACAATGAAGTCCTCTCCAGAGTACAAGCAAAAATTATTCACAGGGGGTTTGAGTAAATGCGAGTTCTGCTGCAGCCACTTGGGGAAGTTCAGAGGACCAGACAGAGGCATTGTGGGCGCTCCGAATTTACGAACTTGAGCCGGTTGGCGGCAGGGATTAATCACATGCTGCACCGGAGGAAGCCGGCCCAAGCCGG